GAGCAGGCCTGCCAGTCTCTGGGCACAGTGCCTCCTCTGTCCATCCACCCAGCTCTAACCCCACCCGAGCAGGCCTGCCAGTCTCTGGGCACAGTGCCTCCTCTGTCCATCCACCCAGCTCTAACCCCACCCGAGCAGGCCTGCCAGTCTGTGGGCACAGTACCTCCTCTGTCCCTCCATCCAGCTCTAAACCCACCCGAGCAGGCCTGCCAGTCTCTGGGCACAGTGCCTCCTCTGTCCATCCTCTCAGGATACTCTCTGCCCTGTTGGCTGTGCAAACTAGCAGGTCCCAGGCCACTGCATGTAAGTCTGTGTGAAAACTTGTTCTATTTAATTTGTAAAAGGGTGTATCATCATAATGTCAAGCAAACATACACCAAAAGCCATTCAGTCTGTATGACAGTCTATAAGTATGTGACAATCCATCCAGGAGCCATTAGTGAAGTTATCCGGAAATCTAATATGAATTTGCATGCCCTGCATTCATACATTCCAGAAGCATAATTTCAGAACAATGAATCTCATACTTACGTTCCACTCTGTGCCACAGTTTTCCTGCAAAAGAACAGGAGCCAGAAGAGCGGCAGGATTGTCATGTTGTAGTGCAGCTTTCTGTGTTTCACAGAAGTGCAGAAAATCCCCATCTCCCCAAAGTAACTATAATGGTATTACCTGGTCTTATCCACTTAGGTAGAACAACCACTCTGTTTATTTACAGTTAATTATTACCCCCCCCCCCCCCAGCTCAAACTGGTGTCAACATTTCATGAACACATCACATGGGGAAGTATCTGTTTTGGACAGTGGATTGTGTTAATAATTTAAAATGAAGAGAACGTAACTACTGATACAGTCTTATAATAAGTCTTTTCTTGTAATGAAGATAATGGGTGGGGTCTCAGGAGGATACAGACGCATAAGAAGGCAGCACATAATAAATGTAATCCATAATTTATTTTGAAATTTTTAAGTTAATAAATGCAGAGGAAAAAACTACAGAACTCACAAAAAAGTAAAACATTTGATTTCAGTGAAAAACTCCTATTATTGACCGAAAAACTACAGATGATGGGTCCTGTGAAACATTTACTCCTCAGTAAAATATGTGCAACAAGCCAAATATTACTGTGGAAATTCCACAGCTAGCAAATTTAGGAATCTTTGCACTGATATGTGAAAAGGAGGCCAAAAGTCTAAATTTGAGCAAGCATTGGACTTTGATTCCTTAACTATGCTAGTTAAGAGGACGATCAATATATTATTCTAGTAAGTCACATGACATGCCTTATCCAAAAGGGCAGTGAATTTAATTTATTAGTAGTGCCCGTAGCTTCTGGGACAGGCTCTGGACTCCCATGAACCTGCATAGGACAAGGCAGGCATAGAAGATGGATGGATGGATGGATGGAGGGTAATCATAATTGGTTACTTGGATATTTAAAGGGGCCATATTATGCTCATTTTCACTCCACAGATAGGCCCTTGCAGGTCGGTGGCCAATAAGGATTGTGTTATGAGGTGACCTCACCATGTCACGGAAGTAAGGGCTGGAATTCCAATGAGGTGTTTCAGGCAGATTAGAGAAGAGTGGTTTCTGTGGTGAGAGTTACTCCGTTTGGTGTGTACTTTGGGCCTTAAGACTTTGCAGACCTTTTACATACACATACAGCTACGTAACACACTAAAAGAAAGGGAAAAAAACAGAAAAACATAATAGGGCCCCTTTAAAATGCCCTTTTGAAACACTATTGCTCAAGATCAGCTTTGGTCACCACACAAAAATATTTTCAAAATATAATTTATAGTACCTAGTCCATAGAATGACAACTATCTATATTTATTTTACAGTTAGCATGTGAATGGAAGTTTACTGTATAGTGAGCTCTGTATGTAGATTTACAGACATCCTGTTTACCTTAGACTTCTGGCTACCAGAATACCTCTTGTGATGGAGCTCTTCAAATTTTGCCCCAACTCTGTTTTGTGGAATCTGTTTTGAATGTGTTGGGTTCTTCCCACAGTTCAAAGTCACATGCAGTTAGGGTAAAATTGGTCATAGTGGGTGATACATCCTTGATCCCTACGATGGACTGGCATCCCGTCCAGGATGTACCCCAGCTAGAGTTGGGTACTTCAGCTCCAGAGAGTAAAAGTCTAGACCAAGATTTTGTTTCAACCAACCAGTTGAGACTGTGACTTTATGAAGGCTGAATTGCACCAACGTGGTTTAAGTAAGTAAGTAAAGTTTATTTATATAGCGCCTTTCACAGACAAAAAGTCACAAAGCGCTTCACATACAGTATAATATATGATTTGACATAGTTTGACATTATGACACACAAGTAAGAACATACATACACAGCACGGACGGTAAAAGCTCTTTTAATAAATAAATAAATAAATAAATAAAAATAAGCTAAGTATCCTCAGCACACCTCAAATGCTTGCCTAAAAAGAAATGTCTTTAATTGATTTTTAAATGCTTCAGCTGACTCAGCAGCACGCAATGCTAATGGAAGGCTATTCCAAAGTCTAGGCGCCACTGCAAGAAAAGCACAGTCACCACGGGTCTTTAAGCGAGTACATGGCACAACTAATAGACTCTGCTGCCCTGACCTTAGTGTACGACCGGCTGTATAATATTGCAGAAAGGCAAAAATGTATTCAGGGGTTTGACCAGGGGTTTAACCTTTAAACTGGATTAAATCAAGATTTATCTACTAATCCCGTTGCACCAAAGTTTAAACCTAGTTTAAATTTAGTTTACAATTAATCTTGGTTAAATCTAAACCTTTGTTAATCTTAATTTAATTTCCACTCAAACCTAGATTAAATTCAAGTCTGTTGCACCAGTGAATTTAAATCAAGTATAAAGCTGGATTAGCAGTCATATTTAAACCAGCCCTCGAGGAGGTTTATGTTAGGTCTGTTGTAGTTTTATTGAAAACATGACTGCATTTCTTTGTTGGGTGTGATCAGAAGAAAGAATCCCATGTAGGAAAATTCGAGACAGGATAAACCCAATTGATTTTTTAAAGCAATAGTGAGTTGTCCATGCGGTACCGATTTACAAAAGAGTGTATCATATACCTCTCACATGCATGGAAGTGAGAGGAACTCTGCTGTACCTCGACTTATCCAGCTCCTAGTAACTTTGCATTTTTATGCTATAGGGAATTATCAGGTGGTTGACGGGGATCTTTTTGCAGTTCTGCTGAAATAGCCGCTTTCGTCCCGCCATACCGCACCTTACTGATTGGTTGACAGCGAGCACTGGCGCCAACATGGAAGTTACACTTAAGTGCAAAAACAGACGGAATTATTTTTGTACCCCAATTACATGTAATATATAAATTAATACGTTTTTTGCTCGTGTCTGCACTGGATAATTCAGTCGCTAACTAATATTCTTTTATCTAATATCGCCGGTGCCGGCGATGTAATTTGCCAGCAGGATAGTACGTTAGGCCTACACCATTTTTTAATTGTCTGTAAAACAAAAGATTGATGGGCAAATCTAATTTGAATCATGAACATGGCGCTGGTCCTGTAAGTAAAATAGGGTTAACACCAGCGTTCCCAGTAGCGGTGAAAAATAACGGATTATTTTATTATTTTTTTTAAAGTTCATGAGTCATTTGCATCAACTTTATTTAGGACCATATTTATTTAGGATGCATCATGCATTTGTTCACATTTCCTCGGAATCCATCATGGGGGAAGTTAAATCAATCCGATTTTAATAATAGTTTAAACTGGTTTATCTAATCCAGTGTTAAATTTAAGACGTGCAACTTATCTCCGATTAATTAAAAACCAGTTTAAACCTTGATTTACTAACTGTATAATTAGTCTAAACCAGGATTAATTTAATCCACGCTGGTGCAACCCAGCCTTTATGTTCAACTGGTTGGTTGAAACAAAATGCCGGTCTGGACTTTTACTCTCTACACCTGAATTACAAACTCTGACCCCAGCCTTGTGCCCTGTGCTGCCTGAGATAGGCTCCAGTGACTCCAGCAAGTGTATAGAAGATGTAGAGATGGATTATGGGAAAGGACCCTGCATTTGACTTGACTGACTTTTCCTGGATATAGCAAAACGTTCCCAGTTTTGGTGATCACTTGCCAACTTACTATTGATTTCACATGCAGAAAAGACAGTAATTAAACTTTTCCTCCATAACAACAGCAGATGCAACACGGCACACCTTTACAAGCTTTGTGGCTACACAAAACCTTACACCATCTTCATTAATAAAGAGACTGAACAACTTTTGTGGTTAATGGAGATGATATTTATGCAGTCATACTTGAAAATGTCTTACTGAGTTCTGGGGAAGGTGTACATTTTCTTTTATATTTCCTAATTGGTACTTGTGACTAGTGACATAGTGAATTGCAACAGCAATAAAGGGAACCAAATCAAATCAAATCAAATCAAAAGATAAGTGCTTCTTGGGGACATCAGTTTGCAGCTAACTATTAATGAAGTTAGTTTCTGACTCACAACATTGTAGCATTTGCAACAAGGTTAAGAGCTTGTCATAGCATCCTCCTTCACTGGTATCAGATTTACTTAACACTGGATGAACAAAAACCTGCATGGTGCTTAAGACGTCTGTCATGTCCTTCAGCAGATCTACTCATTTTTAACAGGTTTCTATCAAAATTGGACATCACTTTCTTATAAAGGGAAGCAAAGACTGTACCTTCGTATTCTTACTTTTCGTATGTTGCTCATGGCAAGAAGGGTCCATAAAATGTCATTATTGTTATAGAACGCAATAGAGAAGCTTCCTGGGCCTCCAGCTTGAAAGAAAGCATCACTTCCATGCAGGATAAAAGACGGAATGTTAGAGAAGCAGCTAGTGGGTCCATCGCTCATCTTCCTGAACATTTCCTGTGTGAAAAAGTAAAACATTTGGTTTAATGGAGAAATGATGCAGTGTGTTACACAGGCCGCTAGCACCAAGACCAGGGTTGTAACAAAAACTTGGGTTGAATGGATTCCAGTTCTTTAATCATTTGGCACAAACCACAGTTGAGGTCAAGCCTTGTACTGTATAAATAATGAAAAATGACCAATTTAAATTACATAATTATATGATCAAATATTTGAGTAGAAATTAATAATTCCTTTAATTTGTCTGTGTTATCTGACCGAAATGAAAAATCAGCAAAACATCATTTCCTAATAGTAAAGCTACATAATTACCATTAACATTACTGAGCACATCAATGGCCCTGATGTATTAAAATTGTCTAATAGTTCACACTGTGACATCACTTGGCATTTTCTGCTTGTTCTTAACCTTTTTCTGTCCACAAAGCAGTGAATGAAAAGTCACGCATCAGACTGGGTAACAAAACCTGTACTTGGGTATGTCTGATGCTCTTAATTGCCTTGAATATTTGAAGAGTTCTGTCCTATAGGAGAGCTTTGCACATGGTCTGGAAAGTGCATAATTGTCTTGTTAGGCCCATTCTTCTCATCACCATCACATAAAAGATCCAAGTAAAAAGAATGCCTATTATATGGATGTGAGACACAAAAAGTCAGCTTTGACGTACGAATAGGCAATTCCCCAGATTATAGGCCATTATCTGACTATATAACTACAACTACTGGCAGTTTCTGTTGTGAAT